GCTGAGCGTTTTTCTCGGAAATAAACCCCCCTCACCCACCCCCCCAAAAAAAAGGGAAAAAGTTGTCAACATACTACTGCTATTCTTTCTCTATTATTTGCAGGGTGGCTCTTGGTTATGGAACGGTAAGCAAGGGTACTTCCAAATTGGAAAAGTATAAAAGCAAAATTATTAGGATGACCCCTAAACTTTTGGAATCATCAAATTTTAACCACTGACCTATTAAAAATCTGGCTTTGACCACTAAACAATTTTAAGTTTAAATTTCGGGTTGTTCTGTTAGATTTAATTATTAACTATGTCTCTTTCTTTTGTCTCGTGAATCGTACGGGCACTCAGATTTGGCATGGTTAATGATCAAATCTAATGAAATTGTCCGAAATTTAAACTTTAGATAGTTCAATGACCAAAATTTGACAATTCTAAAAGTTTAGTGGCCATTCGGATAATTTGTTCAAAGTATAAATAAACTATGCATATTATTTGATAAATAATTGTTTAACGAATACCTAATTTCCACTTGTTAATACTTCTAATTTGCATCTAATTCAGTATTTAAATAGACACATTCACATTTGCTCTTAAACTTAGCCATTTTCCATGGATGCCCAATCAACATGATCTAAAATAGGTTTTGAGTGTTTGCCAAGAGTGAAATTATATCTAGTAAGTGTTTAAATACAAAGAGAAACATTATACATAAGTATATCCATTAAATTGATAAAATAGATGTAAATTAGGCATATGGACATGTACCTAATGGTGCTTAGTAGAGAAACCCTTTCCTACTTAATTTCAAAATTTTCACAAAATGCATAAATTTCCTTCTTAACTCGTGCTTGCTTTGTGCACATTAGAGAGCTTCTTGAACGGATAGGTAGCAATATTAAACATTATGCTATAAGAAAAGGGTTTTGTTTAACAAGTGTCTAGTGAGAACCATCGAAATGCAGTTTAGACATTACATTTTTTAAAAAATAAAATTAAATAGTATAAATTCATGAGATGAAAATAATTAAAAGTGTGTGAATTCACAATTATAAGGAGAATGAAAAGTGTTTGAGAGTCAAGCCATGGATCTTACGAGTTGAATTGAATCTTGAAAATAAGTTAGATGTGATTTACTTATACTACGAATTCCCATAGAGCACTTACTAGAAAAACCTATAAAAAAATATATATAATCATGTGATTTATTGTATATTACCCTCATAGTAAGATTGTACTTTAACCATTTTCTGTATCATATTGTACGGTAGGCTATTAAATTTTTTGACAATTCCATAATTTTGGAATTAATCTAATGTTTAACATGAGTTTCAAATATTAATTTTTTTTTTTTGAAAATAGCGAAGTTCAATCAGATGAGTGTCCAAATGAAAAGGTTCAGACAATCATGTGTATCTTTTTTATCTGTAATGCATGTTCATCTTTATAATCCTATACGTATGCATAAGGCGTATCACTGATTTTATTTTTTTGCCTTTATTTAAACAAATTTCTCTTTTAAGAAGCACGCTGCCACTTTCCTTCTCAATTTTCCCTTCTTGTTGTCTTTTGACGATCATGTTCAATGTCAAAGTACGGGAAATGGGAAGGGGTATTGTGGCAAATTTGAGGGAGGCAGAGGTTGAACTCTGACCTCCAGCATCACTGAAGAGGGTGATGATCACTGAACCAAATGGCCAGTGACGAAAGAAGTGCTCCATGTACTATATATTTTTCGAGACCAATTCTTAAACTTAAGAACACGTTCCTTGTTAGGAAATTGGCTTAAAAACTTTTAGGTAGATTTCTTATTTTGTGTGGAAGTAACTAGTTTCCTAATTGGTTTTAGTTACTTGAAATAGTAGCCAAGAAATTCTATTTAGTTTAGGAAATAATATTGATTTCCAATTTTATTTGGTTTTTTGGCAGTAATGTTCCCTATAAATAGATGGGTTGGCATACCACACAAGGAGACACGAGGACACACAATGGACACAAGAGGCATCATGTAGCCTTATACATGGGGTGTGAGAGAGGGTTCTTGGGAGATGAGAGATGGTATACAAGGGTTGGACTTGGGTTCAAATTGTATTCTTGTATAGGGTTTTCCTCTCATAATAAAGAACAGGTTTCTCTCCGTGGATGTAGGCTCAATGGTGAAGTCGAACCACGTTAAATATTGTGTGTCATTTATCTTTCATGCTTGTGACTTGTTTCTCATTAAATTGTTGTGTACTTGATATCTCAATAGTTGTTATTCCGCGCCTGGATCCCAACAAGTGGTATCAGAGTTTGGTTGTGAGACTGGGCTGCTTAAGGTTCATAGTTGGATCCTAGTTAACTATTGAGATCAAGTGGATTGGTAGTTGTCACCAATTGAACAATTTAATAGGTGGTATCCTTGTTTCAATGGCTTGGGAAAAACCAGTAATGGTGAAGGATGGGAAGTCGAAAAGCATGGAAATGCTTGACAGTGAATCTAAGCAGGTGATTCAAGGGTCAAGGAAAAGGTGGAGTCCAATGTTGATTTTGGACGTGAATCGGTGGAGACTTTCTCACACCTCCAACGGTTGATTCTTCATCCCGGTGGATTTTAGATTTTGGTTATGTTTTTTGGGTGGTGTGGCACGTGTCCCAAAGAAATAAGGAGATCTAATTTCTATGCGCCAGAAGACTCTGACAGGTACGAGTTTTTCGTTTTAGGTGGAGTCTTGGAAACCACATGTGGCGAGGCAGTCCTGAGGATGGGAAGAAGTATGGTGACTTTACCACTTGATTGCCTCAATGGTTAGGGTTAGAGCTCACAGAAGGGAATCCCAGATTGCAAGTGGTGGTGAGAAGAAATCCTGCAAAGGGAAATGGTGAATTGATGCACCTTCTCACGAGTCAACTGGAGGTTGGACTCGGGGTAACTACACATGTTCATTTGCCGATTGAATCAATTTGGTGTCAGGGCTGTATTGATTCAGGTGTGTAGTTTGGTACCATATTATTTGGTAGTTGAAGACAAATGGTTGCTAAAAGAAATTTTCGCCAAGGTGGAGATTTGTTAGGAAATTGGCTTAAATTCTTTTAGGTAGATTTCTTATTTTGTGTGGAAGTAACTAGTTTTCTAATTGGTTTTAGTTACTTGAAATAGTAGCCAAGAAATTCTATTTAGTTTAGGAAATAATATTTGTTTCCAATTTTATTTGATTTTTTGGCAGTAATGTTCCCTATAAATAGATGGGTTGGCATACCACACAAGGAGACACGAGGACACACAAGGGACACAAGAGGCATCATGTAGCCTTATACATGGGGTGTGAGAGAGGGTTCTTGGGAGATGAGAGATGGTATACAAGGGTTGGGTTTGGGTTCAAGTTGTATTATTGTATAGGGTTTTCCTCTCATAATAAAGAACAGGTTTCTCTCCGTGGATGTAGGCTCAATGGTGAAGCCGAACCACGTTAAATATTGTGTGTCATTTATCTTTCATGCTTGTGACTTGTTTCTCATTAAATTGTTGTGTACTTGATATCTCCATAGTTGTTATTCCGCGCCTGGATCCCAACATTCCTAATCTCTATAAGAGGAGAGAATTAGAATTTCACGTTCACAAATATAACATTTGAAAAGTATTTTCGATAGATTAATACCCCACACAGAAAAAAGCATAATCAATCATTCGGGGTTGCTCCATGCATCACCACCCCTCAGCTACCATATAAACACGGATTGTTGGAGCGGGCTCAAATCCCTGAATATATACATATCTGATTCAAAAAAAAATCCAAGTTTGTTGAACAATCTGCCTAACCAGTATTATAACTATACCATCAGGAGCATCAGGGAACTCTACACACACACACACACACAGAGAGTAAAATGGCTTTCAAATTAAGCAAACAGTTGGAAGTTACTTTGCCTCCCAAGTAACTTGGGAGACAAATGAAAAGTTTTCAACGCTTAAAGAAGAAAGAAAAAGGGCTGCAATTTTTATGGCCCGGCCTTAAAAGACCAAGCTTATCATTCAGGTGCAAAGAGGAAAGTGATCACTCAGCTTTGTTTTTGGATCTTAAAGTAACTATTGGGAGGTAATTAGGTAAAGCATAAACCTTTTTCCTCTGATTCCTACGACCAGTTCTCCTAAAGCAACCAACTTTCATGGGTTTCAATAATTTGTGTACAACGATCAAATTTAGCAGCCTAGCCAGCGCCCATCCTGTAAGGCATTTGCTTTTTTCATAATGGGCGAGCTGCTGTCTCTTCCTTTCTTTTGACTTTCATTGGGAAAAGAGCGCCTACTGGAACTTCTATCTATCTAATGATTCTTTTTATCGCCAAGTTCCTAGTGGGGATCGAAATAAGATTAAAGTTAAAAAAAATAATAATAATAAATTGAAGCATTCTCTGAAGGAAGAAAGAGAGTTTTTATCTAGTAACTAAGGTTAAAATTCCAAAAATTTAGAGGTTTAAATCCACTTCTTCCTTCCGTTTTTTTTTTTTTTTGGTTTAAATCCCATCGTTCTCCTATCTTTTTTTTTTTGGGGGGGGGGGGGGGGGGGGGGGGGGGAGTAAGAAAGAGACAAAGAGTAGCTTACTTACACGAGCAACCCAATTATCGCTTAAGGCGGAATTCTTCTCAAGGTCATCAGGCTAATTAATGGCAATTAACCGGAAATTTAGCCACCCAACGCTATCAGAATTATGTTGATGTGACGTCTCGTATCTGAACTAACACCCTTTTATTAACTCCATCGGAAAAATCTGTTTTCCGGTAACTTTGCATGATTGAATTCAGATTACTAGGCAAGTTTCATTTTGTATGGGACTGGCTAACCTAAAATCACACACACGGGGGCAATCTGTTCGTTGATTCCACTCCATATGCATAATAAATAAACCAGCCCCGCCCGCCTTTTCAAAGTTCTACTAACAGACTTGGATTCTTGGAATGAGTTCTGTAATCTTTACCTTCTTTTCTGTTTTCCATTTGTAAAATAGCGCAGGTAATTCCGGGTTCCAACTCCTCAGATGAAGATCATGAAAGGTGCCTGCGTGCGTTTTCTTTGACAAAACGGAATCTAGCAGTTCATTGGTCCCCCTCACAACTCCATAAGATGATGCTACCGTTTTATAATAGAGAGGTTTCTTGAAAAATAATGGTAGAATCATCAAGGAAAAGCGACTTTTGGCTTGTAATTAGTTACCGGGTCGCTAGAACCATACCAAATACCTCCTCTCCTCCACCTGCTCCAAAGTCCAACCACCCCTTCCTTCTACCTCCACTAAACCACAACATCCATAGATCTAGATGATGGAGCTGCTAATCCACTCTCAGATGAAGAGCATTTGTCAAAATCAGTGAAACTTTATATCATTGCCCCAATCAACTAGAGTCGTATCTGCTTCAATTCACTGAAAGTGAACCAATTAAAGATACAAAATATATAGCCGCCAATCCTAGCTGTATTGGGTGGGGTTTGGACTGTCATCTTCATGTTTGACATGTACCCTCTTGCTTCAACGTCTATTTCGCCCTGTCTTTAGTTCTCGGCATCTTTAAAATCACACAACTTTCTCTCATTAATCCCCACGGGGGAGGAATTCAGAACTCAGAACTCCATCTGGAATATATTGTCTGAATCTCTCAACCGACAAAGGGGAAATGAAGAACAATCTCAGCAGCAGCACGAAGCTTATCCTCCTCCATCCTTACATCCAAAAGCAGGGCAGCTCCAATAGGCTATGGCTTCTTGCATTCATTTCATTCTTCACTCTGGCCTTCCTTCTCACCCTGATTTACACCAGGGAATCCATCACAGCTACAACAGCTGCGGCTGCCTCGGCTACAACTGGCTCCAGCATTAATCTTCCGCTGTCGAGTTCCGTCGTGAGGGCGCTTGTTCACTATGCTTCCAACTCCAACAACACCGATCACATGTCCCACACCGACATCAAACAGATATCCGATGTCCTCCAGAAATGCCGGAGCCCGTGTAATTTCCTGGTGTTCGGCCTGACTCCTGAAACCCTTCTCTGGAAAGCCCTGAATCACAACGGGAGAACAGTATTCATCGATGAGAATCGGTACTACGCTGCGTACATTGAAGAAAAATACCCAGAAGTCGAGGCCTACGACGTGCAGTACACTACCAAAATAACAGAAGCGAATGAATTGATTGCAGCAGTGAAGGAACAAGTTATGAATGAATGCAGGCCGGTGCAAAATCTCCTATTTTCCGAGTGCAAGCTCGGGCTGAATGATCTGCCTAATCAATTTTACGAAGTTGATTGGGATGTTATTTTGGTAGACGGGCCTCGAGGGTACTGGCCAGAAGCGCCTGGCCGGATGTCGGCCATCTTCACGGCAGGTGTTCTGGCTAGGAGCAAAAAAGGCGGGAATACAAAAACGCATATTTTTGTGCATGATTTCAATCAAAAGGTGGACAGAACCACCAGTTATGAGTACTTATGCAAGGAAAATTTGGTGAAATCCAAAGATATGCTCGGACATTTTGTCCTGGAAAGAGCGGATGCGAATGTTTTTCAGTTCTGTCGCAGCAATTACACCTCATCACCAGCTTCTTCATCATCATCGTCGTCGTCGTCGTCGTCGTCGTCATCTTAGTTGGTAATGTGCGTGTCAACACAAATAAGTTTAGTCCTTTGCCAATGATCAGGAGGCGAACAATTAGATTACTCCTATTTATCCATCTTTCAAATTTTGACATTTTGCTCGCTCCACCAGCTGCTGCTGTTGGTTGCATGTAAAATAAAAATTTTTTTTTTTGGGTTTTTGGCATGTAAAATGTTAATTGTTTGTGTTATAATTTTCATATGCAACCTGAAAACTTGAAAGGAATCAACAATTTGAGTCGTGTCGTGGAAGTTTTAATTTCTGCTCGAGGAAGATAAAAACTTGGAAACTACTAAAGTGCTGCCTGGATTGGCATACAGATTACTATTATTCTGTACCTAATCCATTGATATCCTATATATTACTCTACAATCTCTGGGGAGAAGGTGCGGCAGTACGTTAGAGAAGTACCTGCAATTTGTTCAAAATAGACATTTTGTGAACAAAATGTCTATTTTGAACAAATCGCAGGTACTATATATATATATAAGGTTCAAGGAATACTATAAGCTCTGTTTGGATTGGTCATTTTTTGAAAAACAACCTCAAAAACATCAAAAACAACTTTAAAAAAAAACCAAAAACATAAAAAAAAAAAAAAGCAACATCAAAAATATAAAAAACAACTTCAAAAATATAAAAAATAACCTCAAAAAACACCAAAAACACAAAAAAATAACCTAAAAAATAACCTCATTTACAGCAAAAAGTTTTTTACTTACGTTGCTACAGTAAAATATTTCAAAACTACCTCCAAAAACAGCCAATCCAAATGGAGTCATAATCCTTTGAGAAGGGAAGGGGAAGGGGTAGGGTTGAGATTTAAAACCAATGACTTAAAAGTTCAACTTGGAAGACATTAATTTCTGGGCTTTTTTTTTTAACGTTCCAGTACCGCCAAGGGCCCAAACTGCCATTCCATTTCCATTCAGAGCCTAATTGCTTCTTAAAAACATGTGATGGGATTCCTACATGTTGTTGAAGTTGAGTCGAGCAATTCTTTTTGTGAGGCTACATTTCAATTTGAATACCTCAAAATTTGGATTCGATTCAATTCTTTTACAAGATGTCCAGAATACTCTGGAATCTCAATCCAATAGAATGATATAGTTACTCCAGTGGATTTATCCCTCGTGAATAAAAATGGGGAACTGATTTTCTAATACCAATGGGCACTAGGTTAGCAAAGAATCATAAATATTGATCCTTTTTTGTAACTACGCTAATATTGGGTGACATAACAAATTTTATTTTTAAGTAGGCTCAATTTAGAAATGCCGTTTACCCTCACGAGGAATAAGTAAATCTCTTTAATTCTTCTCTTCCACCAAGTGTGTGTGTGAGAGAGAGAGAGAGAGGACTTAAAAGAGTTGTTTTTCAAAAAAAAAAAAATTGAAAGAGTTAATTAAAAGTTTGGGGCCTTGGTTTTGGGGGGTGTTTGGGGGGAGGGGGAAAGGTCGGGGGTTAAAGTGAAATTACACATAGTTATTATGTGACAAGTGCGAAGCTGCAGGCCGCAACGTTATCATAATGGCATGTGTTGCCAATGATCAAGTGACGATGTTTACTCGGTTGGCATCTTTCTCCTTGAGTTGTAGTCGGGGGATAGAAAAGAGAACCACAGAGCTCCAACAACACCATCGCAATGACCACCGACTTTAAAACCCTCCCCCTTATAGGTAACAAATTTCTTTCACAAAACCCAAGAATTCTTTTCCCGTCATTTTCTTTTTGCCATTTGTTGCATAATTTCTTCACTATAGTTAGCCACCCTGCAAAGATAAGGAGATTAAAGAAAAAACATGACCATGGTTTCTTTCCTAATAGTTTTCTTTTATGCAGTTTCTTTCCTAAGTTGAGGAACACAGAACAAAAGTGGCAGGGAAAAAGCTAATTATGTTATAGTAGTTTAGTTACGTTGATTGGATTCAGGGAACGGGAATACTCAGTCGTTTTCCGGCTTCGTTACCCTGGGAGGAAAAAGGATCTTGACTGTTGTATTTATCTGTAATTGTCAGCGCAAGGTTTTGAATATCCAAATTGCTATTTTGGTCTCTTTTTGTTGCCATTGTTGAACATATCCCTGCTGAATATTTTACGATTTCACTTAAAGGGAAATTGTATTATCACCATTTAAAGTCCTAAAGTTTCAATTTCTGTCTCTAAAAAAAAAAAAAAACTCTTGGATGTTGGTCATAAAGGTCACGCTACTTGGTTGAGTACTACTAGTATATGAGAACTGACATTTGCTCGTCTAAGTTGTTTGCTTCTTCTGCTTCTTTGTTTGAATCTTGCCTAGATGTTAGTCCTCTTTTGGAGAAATGGGATGATCCAAGCATGGCTCAAGACAAAGGCGTGGCCGATGTTGTGCGACAGTTGGGTCAGGCATGTAAAGAAGCAGGATTTTTTTACGTGGTAATTTATTATGCTTAAATGACATTTTCGTGGTCTTTGACCATGCATACTTATAACAAGAAAGCATGTAGCATTTCTTGATTAAAGTATCGAGACACTTAGATTGTTCTACGCTGGTTTATTTTAGTGGCTTAGATGGCAACCAATTTTAGTTTACTGGCATACGAATGCAAAACTAGAACTGCTAGGGTTCATGAATTTAGGAGGCTGCATTACTAGTTGAATATTTTCATCTCTGTTTCTTACCTAGGCATGTAGGTAGAAGATGGTCCTGTTAGAGTTCATCTCCACCTGTTTGAACTGCTTCACAAGTATAATTTGATTTTTTTTGCGGTACTTTAGTTTTGAGTCACTCACAAGGTACTTGGAATACCTACAACCTCTTCTTTTCAACCTCTCTGCTTCTCATTCTGTCTACTAAGTGTTTGTATATACGCCTAAAGTTGACTTTGGATTGCACAGAAGGGCCATGGGATCCCTGATTCCCTTGTCAAAGAGGTCAGAAACATAGCACATAGATACTTTGATTTACCTTATGAGGAGAAAATCAAGATCAAACTCTCTGCAACAACTGGATACAGGTTTGCTTCTTGTGGAATGATTTGATATCTAGTAGGGTATATGTAGGGTCAATATTTTAGTTCCGATTCAGGCTTCATCCTTTTATTTCTTACTAGGATAACTTAACATTTTGATTGCAGAGGATATCAGCATGTTGGAGAAAATATAACCAAAGGAGTACCTGATATGCATGAAGCTATTGACGTAGGTTTTACTTTGCTCTAGGTCATACTATCATGGAGATTATTCTATATATGTACTTTGTCTTGCTGAGTTTGAATTTTTGGTAATTACAAATTTTAATCTTTCATTAACCTTGTAAAACATATATTTACAAACCTTTGCTGGCTATAAATCTGGTAATCTATCTGTAGAATGAAGGGCCTTGTGAACACTCAATCGGTCCTGCCAATGCGTGTGCAAGTTCAAGCTGAGTTGAATTTGCCTGCCTAACTGTACCTTATTAAGGCTTTCTGTGCTGGGGACTTTATCTTACACCTGCTGTTCTAGATGTTATTTGGACATGTTTTTATCATAGTGAAAAACCAAATAAACACTGCCATGGGAAAGAACTGGGGATGCTTGGGTTCGAATATTCCTTGACAACAAGCTGTTACCGACTTAATGCGTCGTACTAAGTTTATATGATAATTCCAGGGTCATTTTTTGAAATTAGTGAAGGAGAGGGACATGCTGAAGCCATTAGGCATCATACATATGCTGCATCTGTTGTACATAGTGTCTTCATGAATTCAACATCTCAAAGTACGCATTATCTTTCCTTTCTAACATTTTTATGCGGAAAATTATGTTTTCTGTATTCATGAATCAAATAAAACTCGCTCCTCAATTACATGAATAATGAGACTAAAACTGAAATGAAGCTAGATGTTTTCTTCTGCTTCTTAGTTCTGGAAAATTTTAGAATAATATAAACTGTATCTTTTTTTGTTTATTTTCAACCTCTATATTTCTCATTTTCCTTTTTTTTTTTTGTTTTGGAGAATATCTGTGGTGATCACAATGATATAGTGAACTATATTTTGTAGCTTTATATTTTGCAAGCAAAGAATATGGATGTGGTTCGTGTTAGCTTATATGCTATCATTATGCTCTTGTAGCTCTTGCAGCTTTCCTCATCAATTTAATCCTCCAGATCATTTTCAGTCTTTTGCTTTTGGATAACAGTGCTATAAAGAAGTCAAAAAAGGAATGTATGGAGCTCTTGGTGAAACTATGCAAGGTTCTAATATATGGTATGTGAGAAGCCAAACTGTTGTCTTTTATGGATATGGCATGAAGTTGAAACACCATTGAGGGTTACAAGTGCTTATCCAAACAAGAAAGAAAGGGAAAAAGAAAAAAAAATTAAAAAAGGAACTCCACAACCTATCACAATTTACTCTCTCTCTCTCTCTCTCTCTCATCCAAAACCACAGGCACAACATTCTAGTATTCACATACTTGGTAAGCTTGTTATTTTTCTGGAAGAATTGAGTACTGCCTGCACATGGTAACAAGTATCTTTCCTGGTGTGAATGACATATTGTTACCTTCTGTAGGCCAAGTCATCCGCCGAATTTCAAAAAATTGATGGAGGAGTATGTCAACCTTTGCACAGGTGCATTTTGAGTGAAATTATATACCATTAGCTGGGTTACTGCTTTATCTCTGACTCCAGTCCAGTGAATCTGACTTGAAAGCTAAATGTCGACAGAGCTGTCTAGAAAAATTATGCGGGGAATAGCTCTGGCATTGGGTGGATCACCAGTTGAATTTGAAGGGACAAGAGCCGGTGATCCATTTTGGGTGCTGCGTATAATTGGCTATCCTGGTGTCTCCCCTGCAAGTGGCCAAGACATGCCAAAAAATGATATTGGATGGTGAGATTGCTGAAGATGGATTTCATCTTCTTTTATTTCACTTCTAGCACTTGATTGATGTGATTTTGTGCTTCTTTATGTCTTTTATCCAAATGAATGCAGTGGAGCCCATACGGACTATGGTAAGATTCCCCATCCTTGTTTGGTGTAAGCATGAGGTGTTCCTATTTATACGTGAAGATGATCTGTTGTTCTATACCAGGTCTGCTGACGTTAGTCAATCAAGATGATGGTATTACTGCTCTTCAGGTATCGCCCTCCTGTCTACTTTCTTCTTTATTTGCCTTCATTTTTTAGCATTAGTGTGTATCCTGAAGTTCTTCGTGTTAAACTTGGGTCTGTTTCATTAGTTTCTGCTTGAAATATGCATGTTTCTCTGTGTTCCATTGACGCCACTCTGCACTCTTAAAACTTTCATTAGTTTCTGCTTGAAATATGCATGTTTCTCTGGTTATTCATTGTCACTACTCTGCACTCTTAAACTAGTCCCTTTGTAGGTAAAAAACGTTTCCGGAGAGTGGATATCAGCACCACCCATTCCTGGGACATTTGTTTGCAATATCGGTGACATGCTGAAGGTATGCATCTCAATAATTGATTCTCCAGTGGTTTTCATACTGTTATCCGATAACTGTTGTTAATATTTGGGAATCTTCAGATTCTATCCAATGGCCTTTATGAATCAACTTTGCATCGGGTGATTAGCAACTCTCCCACTTATCGGGTCTGCGTGGCCTACTTTTATGAGGTAATCCTCTCTCTTAATTTTCCTTTTTTATTTTGATTCAGCTTCTTAATCAATCTCCTTGGTTTTTTTCACATGAATAGCCAAACTATGATGCTGTAATAGAGCCATTGGATGCATGCGTAAAACAAACTGGTGGAACCACAAGGTTTGAAGTTGCTGTTTACAGTAAACACTTGGTCAGTAAAGTCCAGACAAATTTCATATACTGAGGAATGATTCTCCCCGTTATGTCTGTTTCGACTGAATCTCTCACATTCACGAATTTTGGGGATTTCATCTGTTAGCCGTTGAAAGAATGTACAATAATATCTGTGTTTATTGGAATAAGTTGTCGGTTGATTCAGTATGACATGACCTCATCAAGTTCTCGGAGTTTTTTGAACTCTGTACCTAGCCGATGCCCGTTTCTTTCATTTGGTCTTGCCTTGAATTGTGCAATTATGTTGGCGTATCAGTATTCATAAAGCACCTTCAACTTTGGAACATAAATATAAGCTGGTTGGCTTAGGCTTTAACTATATGTATTAATGACAGCGATGGTTTACTGTATACACTTGTAAAAAATTTCGCTTACGGAGGAAGATTTTTCTCCTCCAGCTTCTGACAACAAAATACATACACACACTAGTATTACAGCGTAATGATAAGGTAGGCATTCAGGCGGCTGGCTGCCGACACCGAAATTCACGAGCCGGGCTCTTTTAAAGCAGCATATGTCGGCGATGGAGGCCTTGCCCGCTTGGGCACATGATCGGATGCCTGTGGTGGGCCCTTAGAAACATTAATGCCGCAGGGCACGTAGTTGAGCGATTTCGGGTCCGGGCAAGTCCAGTGCTTTGAGAAGAAAGCCTTGCATTCCTCGGGGCTTCTTTGGCAAGGAAGGTCTAGAATGCAATTCATGGTTACGTTCAGGACTTTCTTCTCGATTAACTTCCTGCATTCTGGTCCGACTTGAGTGAAGTAATTGAACTTGAGGTCCAGTACCTCCAGGTCGCCCAGGATGCACAAGCTCTCTGGAACCGCCCCGTAGAATTGGTTGTACGACAAGTTCAGCTGCTGAATATCCTTCAAGCACCCGAATGATTGTGGAATGGGACCTGTCAATTGGTTTATGCTGACATCCACAATATGTGTTTTATTCAGAAACCCAATCTCACACGGTAGGCAACCGGAGAGGCTGTTGTTTAAGAAAAGAACCTCGAGGAGATTTCTGGAAGTTTGGCCAATGCTCCTGGGGATTGGGCCGGTTAATTCGTTGTTTGCAAAGGTGAGATAGAGTACAGGGGTTTGGCCAAGATTGTCGGGGATGTTTCCGCAGAATGCGTTGTTGTTGAGGAAGAGCACGTCCAGGTCTAGTGTGAAGGCTTGAGGCGGGATTGTCCCCGTTAACTGGTTGAACCTGACGTCCAGGTATGTCAAGTTGGTTGCCCCTAGGGCTGCAGCGGGGAAAGCTCCTACGAGCTTGTTGTTGCTCAGGTCGAACTCGAAGAAGTTTGGAAGTTTGGATATTCCAAAGGGAATGTCACCTGTGAAGTTGTTGGAGTTGACATGGAAGATTACCAGGTCCTTGAGATCTTCAATGAAGTCTGTTGCAACGAGTGGGCAGCCAGGTCCGCCGTTAAAGTTGTAGCCATTGAAATTGACGCCAACGACTCTAAACTTGTTGTCTTTGGTGCTTCTGTCGCATACGAAGCCTTTGTATTTGGAATTGTCGAAACAGATGCGCTTGCCCGTCCAGGTTTTGGTGATGCCAAAAGGGTCGTACTTTATTCTCCTTTTGAACCTTTGGATTACTTGGATGGCCATTTTTAGTTCCTTGGAAAGAGTAAATGGAGGGGGCGGTGGCGGTGGAGGTGGTGGACAGGGAGGAGGGGGCGGAGGTGGTGGTGGTGGCGGCGGCGGGGGTGGTGGTGGACAGGGAGGAGGGGGTGGTGGCGACGGGGGTGGCGGTGGTGGCGGTGGTGGCGGCGGTGGGGGTGGTGGTGGACAAGGAGGAGGGGGCGGTGGCGACGGGGGTGGAGGACAGGGCGGAGGTGGTGGAGGTGGACAGGGTGGAGGGGGGGGTGGAGGCGGAGGCGGAGGCGGTGGACACTTGGCCTTGGGGGGATGCATTGGAGGATATGCGGGCTTTGGAGGGGGAGGGGGAGGGGGCTGTGGGCAATGTTGGCATTCTCCATTGTCAGGAGGGTAGGCAGGGGAATAGGGAGGACTGCCACCCCCTATGACGATTTGGAGTGTTTCCCTGTTGATGGGGGTAGTTGGTGGAGTACCATTACCAACGACTTGATAAAACCAGCAAGAGTGCAGGATAACAAAGAAGACAAGAAGAGGAAATGTGAGTGAGAAAGTGCTCTCCCTCTCCATATTCCAACACTTCTGATGATTGAACCAGGAAGAAGGCACAACGTATATATAATATGCTGATGGGGAGGGAATGGAGGACCCAATGATCGGTGAGGTTTAATGCGGGTGGTTCAGTGATTTGATCCATACTGCCAATAAAGAGGCTTAATGCGGGTCCTTCAATAAAGAGGTTTAATGCATTCTCCATATTCCATTTTCTGTTGTTTTGGGCACCATGAGTGGGGAGGCGTCCTCATGCAATATGTAGATTCTTTCACATACATACATAAATTTAAAAAAAAAAAAAAAAAAGATCGAAAAGATAAATAATATGTTAAAAAATGTGTTTATAATAATACAAGTAAATAATTTTTTGATAAATAAGCATTTTTAATCGTAAAATGCCATTTCTGCAATTGTGATCTACTCTCAGATAGTATTGGATTTTTATTTGTAGCAAGGTAGGCCACCAAAGTGACATCAGCCGTTTCAAATGCTAAGGTTATGTTTGGATTGCATGAAAAATGACTGTAGCGATTTGATATATGTGAGGGAAAAAGGTGATAGGGAAATGTGATCACGGAAAACGATAATATTTTCCGACGAAAACCTTCAATCCAAGCAAGGCCTAAGTTCTCCGCTTTTTCTTTATTAAAAAAGGTAGGCCGTCTTTTATTCTTTCTATTTTCTTTTCTGCTTTAACGTGAAGAGTGTCTTTTTTTTTTTTTTTCAAAAGCTTGATTTTGATTGTAAACCTGCCCATCCGTTCCGAAAATATTTAAGATTTACCGGAAAAAAAAAATAAAAACTACAACTCATTAGCTACAGCTATCTTTACTCCGATCTACTTAGAAATAAGAACGACACTTTCACTTAAAAAAAAAAAAAAAGAAAAAAGAAAGAATAATACGTCGATAACACGACGCACTTAGCTAGCACCTGCAACGGCTGTGAATCCGTTCCCTTTCAAAACCAAAAAGTCAGTTGCCCCAGCGCTCCGCTTTCACAAAAGGCAATACCTACACAAACGGCGCAGCAAGTAGGGGATAGTAACCAGTAGGACAAAACTTCGCATGATTGACCTTTCAACGAGGATCTGTCCTCTTACTATTATTTCCCTCCCAATGCAATTCCGGAGGAGCCATCCCAATCGTCAATACATCCTACTTCCAATCTTGTGCATGTGCACTTCCTCCTTGATGGCCTACTGTGTCGCAGTTGACGTGTGCATCCCCATTCGTCTATTCTCACCGGCATAAACATTTTACACTCAATTTTGTATCTGCACTAACAAACTGTTCCCCTAATATATCTTTACAGGCTACTCAGATGCCAAGGAAAATTAAATATCTTCAAGAGGGAACAATAGGTTCCACTCTGCCTTTCCCACAGTTCTATAACTGCCCTTTTTTGCTGTCTTCTCTGGACGAGTTCTATTTTCATTCCATCTTTTACTATTTTAATGCAAACTTGGGCCAAAAAAAAAAGGGGTTCATGAATCCACCAAGTTAAGGTATTTAAATTTTCTGGCACAATTTCACCACCAAAGTATTCCTTTAAAATTCCTAAAGCTTTGCCTTCAACAATGATGACCATCCAATCTGCAGCCTATGTCAGATAGTGAAGCAGCAAAAAGATAAAAGAGGAAAGTAGAAAACAAGGCAGCTAAACGTGATGCATGAAATTTCAACTGTCAGTGGCACTCGTATGGTTTCTAACTTGTCCGACACTGGCGCGCACAGTTTTGCTAACACACTAGATTTTACTGCACTTTTGTCTACAAAGAGATGTCTAAATGCTACTGATAGGATAGACGAAAACCACTACTCTGCAAAAGGAAGGAAGATGGAACTTCATTATGATTACAAAGAGCGCTATGGTGAGAAAACTAAGCAATCTTTAACCAAATTCAATGAAGCCAAGAACAGAATGACACTGAGGAAGCATATAGTGAAACAGTGTTTCACACCGGCAAATGTCTAAGAAATGCAAAAGCTAATACAATCAACTCAGAACAAGTTACCCTTGGAAGGCACTATTACCTCACCAACAGCACTGATCAAGCAAATAAATTTCTTCATTAGCTTGCAACTCTTCAGGCGAAAGATTGTAAAAAATTTTAAGCTAAAGTGCTGATTACCAAGCAACAGAGTGAAGTACATTCATGATACTTTAGGACCATGATTAACAAAATTTTCCGGCTCAAAAGCCAAATAATGGCAGAAGAAGGATAAAGTAACTTCTCTTACCTCATCACATGTCACAGGAAGAATCAAGAGGTACACTGAGGTGTTGTAATCAACTCTCATGCTGTTAACCTCCTCATTCAACTACTTGGACATTACTTTCACTAGTAGCAAGCTAACAGCTATTGACTAGCAGTAGAAAGAATAACAGTGTAACTCAACCTCCTCAGACACCACTTTGGCAGAATTCTATACAACAGCAAGCCTCAAATATGAAATCTCTTCCAGGACCATAAATCTCATGTCGCAAATCCATTTGCAGATACCCTCTCCACTCTGCTATCCTTCACATAGAGTGGTATCCTCACACCAAGATCCCTAAGTCGATTAACCACGTCGTAGAGAAACTCAAATGTGAGTTTTGATTGTGCATTAAGGTCATCTCTTACAGTTGGATGCACCCTGAACCAATCTCCTAGCATCTTATGCACATGGGAACGAATCATTCTCCATGGCACTGGATAACTCTCACAAAACTTTAAATATTCAACTAGTAAATCCGCCTGGTCCAGCTTTCCATCTACACAGATATCATCACTTCCTGATACCCATTTGACAGTACGGTATCCAGCAAAAAGGGCTGGGTTTTCCAGCAGAGACTCAGCTGAAAGTACCCCCTCAACCCCAGTCTCTTCCAAACAGCTCTGCACATCTTCCATGTATCTTATATTCCCATTAGCCAGAACAGGGATTCTCATGACATCTCTAACAGCCTTGATGGCACTCCAATTGGCACGAAATTTCTTCCCATCTTTTTCATCCCTAGTTCGACCATGTACTGCCAAAAGAGCACAACCAGCATCTTCCAACATCTTGGCATAATTGATTGTGTCCTCAAAATTCGCGAAAAGTCGTATTTTGCAGGAGACTGGAACACTAAGGTTGTTTGCTAGTTTTTCTACCATAGATTTAACCAAAGGAAGATTGTCCATAAGGAAAGCTCCATAATTCCCTCGCCTAGCAATACGCTGCGGACATCTGCACGGATGGCAAATATACAACGCTTAACTAAGGCTACTTTCAACCAAACTCAACGAAAAGTGATTGTAATGATACAAGCTGACAGCAGGACAACTTCCAGATGCCAGTTACATGGAATTGCAAGGAAATTATACTCGAAAGAATTAGCCACGACAAAAAGTGAGCAATCAGTATAGTTAGAGTCAATATGGAAAAACTGTTCTAGAATACATGTACGAGCGAATATGGAGATAAATATGCAGCACTAGGTGCGATATCAGCTTAATGAAAATGCCCGTTATGTCATTCATTACTGGAGTTCCTCTTTATACAGTAGTTAGCAATAGTAGCTAAACAAGGAAGGAAAAACATGGGTAGAAGGCATTACCCCAAATTGATGTCTACATAATCGCAGTAGGGTTCTACTCTCCGCGCAGCCTCCAACAATATATCTGGATCATTCGCACAAAATTGCACAAATAGCGGACGGTCCTCCTGTCATTATTTCTCAGCAAACTTCTCCTTAATGAAATTCAAAACTATACAACTTCACAGACTAAGTAACACGAAGCATAAGACAAGTAACTAAAAACAAGACCCGAAATTACCTTGCAGGTGGTAAATTCTTGAGAGCGGTACTTTTCAGTTTCGGTAAAAATACGAGAGTGAAGCATAGGGGTATAAGCAGCTTGAGCTCCGTACTTGCGGCAAAGCATGCGGAAGGGGAGCTCGGAGTTGTCGACCATGGGGGCCACTATGAACTTAGGTTGCCCAAGCTTCTTCCAGTGTGCCCAGGCTCTCTCGATCCGCGACTCTCTGCTCAGGTACCCGTTTGGATTTGGGGCCGGGAGGCCGTCCAAATGGGCTGTCTCTCCTTCTGGTTCTCCTTGTGGTTCGGAACACAGGCGGTCGTCGTCGTCGCCGCCGTCTTGGTTGACGGCGACGTTGCAGTTTGACGATGAAGAGGAAGTTAGGTTTTGGATGGCCATCAAGTTATACGATGAATTGGGCGGCTGTGAGCAAATACTACGTGTGGCGCAGAGTGGCTTCCTAATAAATCTCATAAGGAGGCGATGAAGGCTGGGGAGGGTACGCAGCCCATGACCACCCTGGAAGTTCGCAACGGATCTCCTATCCCGTATCCTGTGTCACTCTCTGTCCCACTTTTTATTATATTGTTATTTCTCCTTCACAAACATCATGTTTTAATTCTTTTTTATTTCCTTAAAATCTAATAACTATTAATTGAGTAATACACAAAATTTAACAAACTCAAAAAATCAAAATGCATAAAAATGAGATTTTTTATGAATTTTTTGTTGTATTTTTTAATTTTCTATTATATATTAGTTTTTTGAAGCTTTTGTATTTATTTTTTACTCAATTAATAGTTATTGGATCATAAGGAAATAAAAAGGAATTAAAACATGATGTTTGTGAAGGAGAAATAGCAATATAATAAAAAATGGGACAGAGAGTGGCATAGGATGTGGGACAGAAGATCCGTTGCGAAGGAAGTTGGTGGGGAAATTTTTCCTTCAATTTATTTGGAGGGAGGAGGCGGGGACCCCGCGGGATTATGGCTGTTTTAGATGGGTGAAAAAAATCGGATCCGGGGCAGGAAGGTCACGTGTATTTTGTAACTCGATTTGTACACAGATACAGGGTTTGTTTGGATTGAGCATTATTTGTCAAATTATATCTGCTTACATCATCATTACAATTTCCATCGCACCTTTTTATCTTCCCAATTACCTTTTTATCTCACATACATCACATCACAAAAAATGCTACAGTAAAAATATTCCAAATAACTTACAATCCAAACAAACCTACAATTTATTTACAATAACATGTAACTCTGACACAGAATTTTTTGAATCCCACACATATTGTAAACAATGAGGTGTAAAATAAAATCTGAATCTTTTAATTTTTTTTGATCAAATCTTAACCATGAACTGTCAGGAACGGCGTAGACATTCTTGCCCCTCTTCCAAAAAAATCAAATCTTTTCTTCAGACGAGGATAGGGTTGTTTTTGGAGTTGAGGCTCCAAATTGATGCATACTAAGTAACTTTTAAGCCGAATTACAAGCTCAAGACAATTAATCCGAGTTACATAATAACTTGTAGGCTTGATCTTACATAGCAACTAGTATTTTGATCCGTGCTATGCACGGATTTATATGAGAAGGAAGAGAAATATGGTCAAATACAACATTATTATCCTTTTCCCTCATATTCTTCTTCTTTATGCCACTTTTTCCACCTCTAAACCTCCTACTCTCCACTACTCTCTTTTTTATTTTCTGAATTTAACTTCCTCGCATCCCTACAATCTTTCGTAATTCTTTGAAATCCTACCCAATTTTTTTGTATTCCTACAACCTTTCTATTTTTATCAAATTCTATTTTCTCTTTGCTCTATCTCGTTGCTACCCAATTATCCTATCTCGTATCTAATTTTACAACCCACTTGTCTCCTATTCTACTATTATTTTCATCTATTTATAAATGTAAATGGTAACCTATTTATTTGGCTCACCTATTAACAAATGAATTTGCGTGTGTAATTTAATTGGATTGAAATGGGTGACCAAATTAACCCATTAATTAGTGGGTATGAAATTGATAGATTTGGATCACTTATTTTGACTTAATTAAATTAGATGTAGATTCAAACTCAATCATTAGTGGGTAAATCTAAATTACTCTAATAATTATATTCTAATTTTTGCAAAGATGTATTCATCTTTTTTCCTCTTCTTTAATTTCTATTATTTTATTTTTTAAAATTTATCCTACTTCCTTAATTCCTTGCATAAAGTTTCATAAATTTCGTGAATATTAATTGATTGTTTGCATTAATATCTAAATTATTTTTAGATTGTCGTATAGTGATAAAATTTGAAACTCACTGTGATGATCATTTTAGGCTCCTTTAAGCAAATTTTTATGTTTTTTCCTTTTTCTTTAGATAAAAATTGATTTATTAACTTGATATGTTGATATGAATTACTATTTTGTTGTTATACAAAATATGGATGAAAAATTAAATAAAATTTGGTTGTGGGCTGTGAATGGATGATTGGATAATCCAAACCCATATAAAAACTATATTCATTGATGATTCGTCTATTTTGAACCATTAACTAAGTAGGAATATATAGATTAACCTTATTATAACTTGCCCAGACTCATATGAATCATCAAATTTGATAATTGTCCTATAATCTTTACCTTCGCTAACCCTACAGTTCTATCTTTTTAATACTTTCACTATTTAGAATTCATCAGCTCACTTTTTTAAGTGTTTTTGGATATATAAAAAGTTAGAATTATTTTTCCAAGTTGCTGCCTCATTTTTAAGTGTTTTTAATCAAATAAAAAGCTAGAATTGCAATCATCGAGAAAAAGTAAACTTTCGGATGTAAAATTGGTGAAATACAACCTTTTTATCAAAATTTTGCTAAAACACCACCAAAAGCAACCTTATAAATACACCTTTATTAATTTAAAATTCATACATAAATTTTTCTTTACATGCACTTTTTGGTATACATGTGCTAAATGAAAAGTCATCTAGATGCTTGCACGATATAAATATTGAATTTATTCTAAATGCAAATAAAATGTCATAATTGTTATTTACATACTCCAATTTAATGTTAGAGTATAATTTCAACATTCAAATTTTAAAACTTTAAAAAAACAAACCTACTGAATAAAATCCAACATAAAAATATAAAATTTATAAAAAGCAAACCTGTTAAAATGCCCTAAGCTTGCTGAATAAAAAAAAAGGGATAAGTTTAAGACTGCACGAAAATTGATTTAGTAATTGTAGCATAAATTATTAAAAAATAAGAGTAAGCGAGTATATCATTAGAAGATTTTGACAAATGATTATTATACCCAGAAGGAAATCGATAAAGAAATAATTGGGTGAATAACTAAAAAATATGACTAATCACATTATCTCGAGGATTTGGCTAAATAAATTAATCCTCTTTAATGAAGGAACAAAAGGGGTTAGAGTGATAAAGATATAATAGGGTAAATAATTTTAAAATGGGACTAATCAATTATCCCTGAGAATTTTGGCTTGACAAATATATTTTATTTAATTAAGGAGTAAAAAAGACTTCAAGCATAAATAACAAACTATAAAATGGTTTATGAAAGAGATAGTGGGAAAGTTTTAAATTTTAAATTTAACTAGTGATAGAATTAGTTATAACCCACTGTTTTAAATTTTTTAATAAGATTTTATGTATTAAAATAAATACAAAAATCTAGAAAAAAATAGAAAATTTGGAAGCCATTGAGAGGGTCTCTGTTAAAAATCCACTATGCAATAGATATAGATAGATATCATTTCCTTTTTACCTCTTATCTCTGATGTGGGATATCACATATAATATTATATATACATTATTAGTATATAAAACTAGTGTGAATACCCGTGCTACGCACGGTGCTGATATTATTGAAAAAATAAAAATAAAAAAGTGAATTAAAAAAGATTAAAAAATTGTACCAGTACAATTAAAATATAATAGTTGTCTAACAATAATTTGAAATATGATAGAATGTGTATATTATTCAAAAATTATCTTTTTTTCGGAAGATAGACCCTAAAAAAATAATAGAAATTTATATTAGAAAATGAATGATATATGAATAAAAATGAATGTAATTAAATGTTGTTAAAATAAAATACTTACAAATATGATACATTCAATTTAATAATCTTGCATGAAGGTGCGAACACTCTTCACACCAATCAACTTTTAGTACGAAAGTCAAAATTGGTGATTTAATTAATTCTGTTGAATTTTGTGGAATGCATACTACAAATGAAAATGCACGATCTTTGCATGAATTGATTCGTTGGTTGAACAATCTATCACCATTGTTCTGAGAATTAAGTACGTGTGAAATTCAAAATTAGTGTATTTTTTATACATAGTTTATAAATAGCATTATAAAAAATAAACATATATCAAGAAATTCTATCTTCCTTTGTAATTTTTTGAGATAAGAAGTATTACAATCAAATATGAATCGTGCATGTCTGTCCTGTAGATTAAGATGCATGTTACCACTGAAATTTTTGATTTGTATGTTAACATTGTACCTGTTTGACCAATAAAATATTATATACAATACAGAAAAATTTGTTGAAATTAAAGATACATGAAATTAATTACCTAATAACAGTGTCGACTATGTCATTACAATGCATACATACTGTTTTTGAAAAACGACCTTCACATAGTTATTCACAATTTTTGCATAGTTCATAGAACATATTTTCTATGTTAATGCTTTGAATGTAAACAAGTATTCGAAAATATTTAACCTAGTAAGAATGAAAGAAGATATAGGTTATGATTATAAATTTAAAATATTTGTGCAGTAATTAAATTAAATAGAGTAAGTTTACCGTATGCATAATTGTATATTCGGATATCCATATTCTCTTTGAATTTACTATCAACAATACTTGTGATGTTGTAAAATTGTTTGATTTCAACCACATAACTAACTTTCGAGCACATGTATCATTTTCAAACCTACAATTTTTTGAAATACATATTGATAAAAGTATGAAACAACATTAAAAGTTTGATGTAGTGTTGTAACTCACCAATTGCGCAGGTGTCGAGCAAAATCTAAACTGTGATTGATATACAATTTGTTAGCTCCAATTGTACAAAGTGATGGTCCTGCATAGTATAGTTATATTCGTTAAAAAACTAGTCAAATTATATAGAGTATATGTAAAAGCATTTGTTTTACCTCTGAGATTTCGTACGCAAATACCATATGCTAATAAAATATTATTTTGTGTAACAGATTGATATTATAGGATTTGTAGTATATTCAATAACTTGATATTCAAATCACCGATGAGCCAAAGTTTGTCTAAATAATCTTTACAGTGTCCTAACTCCTTGTAAAAAAAAAACACTAAATAGTCCTAATTGGCATCGCAAGTTACGGCAATGTGCCAGTGCCATCTAGGTCTAATTTTTTTTTTGTCAAAATCTAGTTCTAATTGATTTTACTGTTTTTTGATCATATTGTATGCTTGCGAATTAAAA